CTTTCACTAACCTTCACCTACTTAAAGAGATGGCATTCTCCACTGTAGAGCTCATCCAACTGGAGCATGTGCTGAAAATGTGGTGTGTCAAAAGTTGTTGCCTTCTTGCTGCTTTTACGGCATTTAAGTTTGGAGAACACAGTGTAGACATTTAATTACAGGAACTTCCACAAGGGGATAATTAATTGATGGAGATGCAGGAGGTGTGGCCAACATATGAGGGATAGGTAGGGGAAGAGAAAGACAATGTTGCCATACAGCAAGTGCTGTAGAGTATGCTAATTGAGGAACAGAAAAACGGGGGACAGTAAAGATGAAAGAAATAGCAAAAAGGATATAGGGTCAATGTATTTTATTTTACCTTTAGAACACAAGTTGACACAAGATTGTTGTATGATTATGATTCCCACCTTGAGATGGTTGGATGTACATAAGGCAATCTTATAAAAATGTTCTCCATGCTATTATCTGATATCTCTGTTAATAATATCTGATTCTTATATAGCATTTTTCATCAGTAGATCTCAAAGCATTTTTAAAGGATACCACTATTATCATCATCATCCCTATTTTACAACTGGGGCACAGAAAAATTGTGTGATTTACTCCAACTCACACCACAGACCAGTGGCTGAACAGAACCCAGGTTTCCTGAATACCAGGACACTGGTCAGTCCACTAGACCACAGTATCTCACTACTATAGGGTAGTATGGTGTGGTAACTATTATCAGTCATTGTATGAGTTTTAGTAAAACAATCTGAGAAGTATTTTAAAATTCAAAGATAGAAGATGCTTTATAAGAGCTAAGCATTATTTTAAAAAAAATATTATTTTGGTTGATAACTCTGCATATTAATGGAAAATGAACTGCTGGCATTTCTAGCTGACACATTAAATTAAATGACAAAAATAGGTTTTAGGATAAAATGAAAGAAATCTTCACATAACTTTCAAAAACGGGCCTATTTGTAAGCCTACTGTTGCACAGAAGAGAATAAAATTCTCCCATGAACAGGCAAAATACACTTTCCCCATCACTTTTTAAAAAGAAGAAAGAGCTTGACAAGAAAACAGAGGCTTCAAACTTTTAGATCTTATTCTGTCATTATTATTTTTTTAATACTCTTATGTAGCAGACAACAATGATTTAACTCAAAACTGTCTGAAACCACTTAACCCAAATACAAAATATACAAGAGTACAACTCTGAGTCATTTGCCAAAAAAAAAAAAAAATTGCATGTCAGCATCTGAATTCAATATCGTTGATTTGGTGCTTCGAGAACAAGAGACATATTTTGATGCATAAGTAGGTTACTGCATATTCAACCAAGTTTGAGCTACTTTAAATTGATGGTTTCATTCCTACAGAACAAGTTATAG